TGTGACTTTGACGACTAGGTAGTGAACGAAGCTCCGAAGAGCCTTCCTTTGAGAACGACCCGAGTCGGGTAGCTCGGTTACCACATGCCCAAAAATATACTCAACAGTTGTGGCTGGTTGTCTCAAGACCACTTTTTAGTTTTTTTTTATTATTATTTTTTAATCCATGTTTTGGACTTTCTTGCTGTATAGAAAATTAGTTGATTAGTTATAGTTGTCGAGCATAAGTCTTCATACGATTATACTATACGTAGCAGATGTCGAAACCAGCTGTTTTCAGTACCCATTTTTTTTCTCTTCTTTTTGGCTGTGTGCTTGTTTAAGAGTGCCAGCATTAGTTAGGTCTAGACTATTTTAATGGGTGTCGTCTTTTATTGATGGTTTTGATACTTACTGAATTTACTTATATTTACTTAGAAAATCTCTGATAGCACCTAGTGTGTTGCAACTGCATACTTTTATTGTTTGAGGTTAGTTCAAACAATTGTCACATGGTACAAAGCTTCCGATTAGGGAATCTAAATGAGTTTTCTTTAAATTTTTATTAGCTTATAGTTCAATCTACTGCAATTTTTCTTTTATCTTATAGTGTGTTTATATATATATATATATATATATATACACTAATTGGTCTCCGGCTGTGCATGCACAACCAACTCAAATATAGTCAATAATAAAGGTCGAATTTGACGTCAGTTAAACGTACGCAATGTCGTGCCGAGTTAAGTCCCTTATTTATTATTTTTATCATTTATTTTAATGTTAAGAGACGTTGACGTAATGTTTAACTAACCAGTTGAATTTATAATTTGTTTTTTATTACTATAATTAAATTTAAGACTAATTATCAAAATTAGAAAAAAAAAAAAAATTAGAATGTGTATCTTGAAAAAACCGTTAGAGCAGACATAAAAATCTATCATAATTTAAATAAATAACAACAAAGAAAGTCAAAATGAGTATTGCAATAAGGGGTGGTGCCTCTACAAAGCTCTCTGACCACAATTGGATTCCTGAGTTGGATAAGGGAAAACATGTGCTAAGAATTCAGATAGATGGGAACAGGTTTTTGGTGAAGGATCTGTGTGCAGGGGGAACTAGCTGGGATGCTAACCTGGTAAGAGCTATGTTTGTTGCAGAGGATGCCTAGAAAATCTTGAAGATCAATAATCTCAACCCTAGGGCCCCTTATATTTGGAAATGCTCAGCCTTGGTCGAAGGCAAATTTTCAGTTAAAAAGGCTTATTTTGATCTGATAGCTAGGGCACCAAGGAGTTGGGTTGTGACAGAAAGCAGTGGGCAGGCCAGTGGGAATATTAGAGCTAGAGACAGGTGTTGGAATCTTCAAGTGATGGGCAAAATTAAACACTTTGTCTGGAAATGCTTTTCTAACTTGCTTCATGTTCAAAGCAATTTGAAAGCTAGAGGGTTGGAGATGGACACAATATGCATGGTGTGTGGTGAGTTTGAGGAAACCCAAGAGCATGTTCTGTTCAAGTGTTGCAAAGCTATGCAAGTTTGGGAAATTGCACCTGTCCAATGGGATATGTTTCAGAAGGAGAACTTTAGTGTTGAGGAATGGTGGTGGTGGATTAACACTATGCCTGGCAAGGATATTTCGGAAGAGAGAATTCAACTATCCACATACACATTATGGTGGTTGTGGAAAGCGAGGAATATTTGGGTATTTGAGAATCAGTGTTTGCCTAAGGAGTGGATCATTACATCGGCTATGAGGGATTGGATGGATTACTCTGCTCTTAACTCTAATGAATAACTTGGGTGGGCTGAGAAATAACTAGGTCTCGTGTCAGTGGTTATTTTTCTTCTTTGCCTAAATATTTGTTGATGTTCATTTGTTAGAATGCTGCTGGAGGGTTTGGCTTGCAGACAGTTATTTATCTTTGGTTTGCGGTGGTTTGTTTTCATTTCCTTATTTGTTATGGAGGGTTAGATGGTTTTGTATTTTCTAGTCTCATTCTGGTGTTGGGTGCAAGTTTCTGTTAGGTGTCGATTAGGCAGCATTGTCATGCTTGGCCTCCCAGATTTCTTGTTGTATTTCCCATTGTTTGGGTACTTTTTTTAATGAAATTCTTTATGTCGTTGGAAAAAAAAAGTCAAAATAAAGAAGAATATACTCACTAAGCAAATATAAAAATACTGGAGAAAACAACACAAATTCATCCGACGTCCCATTGCGTTAAGACACCAAAACAAATTCGCACACGTTCAGGACATCCATAAACCGTTTTAACATCAAAACACAGGCAATGAGTAAACATCTGAATTACACTTGACCCATGACAATTGAAGGACACGAGTCACCACCTTCAAGGTACCCGTTCATGTACCCACTCGGTTGACCAATGAGTCGCAACCACAATAGCAAGAAGTGGACCTTCCAGATCCAGTTTTGTATATTCTGATCGGGTAATTGCATATTCTTCTGATTATGTAAGCTATTAGACATTATATTTACTCGTGCTTAGGAAAAGTTAATGATTGTGTTTATTGTTTGATTTCATCTTAGTAATTCTGATTCAAAGAGGTTGTACAGTCCAACAAATCTAGAGTTACACAAGAAGAGAACATAATTTGATAGCAAATTATTTGATATGAGTTATGCTCTTTGAATTTGATATCATAATAGGAAAAAAAATCACCTTTTAGTATGGGATGTTTACTCAGAAAAGTTAAGGTAAGCCTATATAAAATAAACCAGCTCAAGGTCAAGTTTTTTCTTACTTTTTGCCTCAATCGACTCTCACTAAATGGGCAAACAAAATTGCATCATGCATCACATATTTTACGATATACTTATCGACTTTTAAAATTAAAACAAATAGCCATAACTTCTAGTCTATTAATAAGGCAAAACACATCTTCCTGTTTTACCAATTCCCAACACTTGGGCCTCATCTATATAAATGCATCATGCCTGTTATGTTAAGACCCAAAATAAACATACAATCAATCATTAAAAAGAAGATTATTAGAACCAAAAGACAAAAAATTTGGAAACAAAAATAGAACCAGTCGCAAATAATATATTACTATATATTTTAGAATGATATGTGTTACTTATGACTTACATGTGTTATATTATATTAGTTTTTATAACTTATATCATATAACTACTTGAAATCTAAATATATTAGTGGATAAATAATTTTATTTTTCTAATTAATATTAAAAATAATTTTATTATTGTTATAAAGATAAATATAAATTATTTTTTATACATATAATATGGATGCTAAATCGAAGCTCATCAAAAGAAGATTAATTTGATATATTACATATGTAAACCTGATAAAAAATACAAAAGTTATTAACTTTTTAAAATATATATATATAATTCAATAGTTATAATAAGGAATAATATTAAAATACAATTAATACATGTAACATGACCATAACTAATCAAAATATTTATGGTAATCCGAACCAAATTATTTTTAATTTGGAATTAAATTAAAATTTATCCAAGCCTAATAACGAAGCATGTAATTTTGCCACATAGGATTTCGAAGCACTAGAAGCAGCCACGTAGGCTCAGCCGCTCAACGCGTTCCGTATAAATATATAGGGGGAGGGGATTAATCCAAATATTTTGTATATTATAAGATGACCAGTAGTTTTATTTATTTATTTTATAATTCAATTTGAATTATTTAAATACTATTTATAAATCTAATTTTCAAAATTGATAAAAGTTAATATAGTTAACATACATATATATAGAAAAAAGAATAATAACTGCCGAGA